CATACACACACTTGGCTCATCGGATCACTGTATTGTTTCTTGTTCTATTAGGTTTACCAGCCCCGAGCTGCCACCCAACTCGAGACATTCCGGCGCTACAACTCAGCCAACTAGGACGGTTTCCATGATTTCCTAGCTGCTTATCCCTGGACCGACTGTTTCTCTTCGGACGTTTCCAAATCTGCTTTCAACAGCACCGACGTTCCTCAAAGTATGCATCTTTTTATTCCGCACTTTTCCTAAACCCGGCAACCCCAAATCCCCTGAGTGATTTATCCGTGCATGTGACCGTGTTGTACGCCTAAAATGTCCAGCCTTCCGTCGCTCGCTCACCCCACTCCCTTTCACATCATCGCTTCGTGTAAGCTAGGAATCGATGCTCGACGACCATTCAGAGAACCAAAGAACCCTTCATTCACCGAAAACCCGAAAACGTGGTCTCACCTGCCACCGGTAGCCAAACATTTATATCCCTTGCCAAAGCAATTTTCCATCATTTCTGCTCTTCCANTACACCTCCACCTTATCCCTTCTTCACTGGCAACCCTTTTCTACCTCATATTAGCAGTAGGCAAATCCGTCAAACATTGTGCTCTCTGAACACAAAAAAACCACCCGTTCCGGACGGTATTCCACCAATCGTCCTCAACATGTGCTCCCGAGCTGGCTCCTATTTTACGTCTTTTCAGTTCTTTCCCTTAAATTTCTTACTTTCCAACCCCTGGAAACACCATGATTTTTCCTATTTCCAAACGCGGCGACCGACCCATTTCCCTCACATCTGTTCTTTCGAAAGTATTTGAAACTCTCTAACCAGCTACGCACGTTCTTCGAACGTGAAGGACCACTGAGAGAGCACCAGTATGGCTTCTGACAGCGTCGTTCCACCGGTGACTTGCCGGCTCTTGTCTCACAACCCTGGTCGGCTTCGCCCGATAACCACGGAGAAACACACTTAGTCTCGCTTGACATCTCAAAGGCCTTCGACCGAATTTGGCACGGTCTACAGGCGAAATTACCCATGTTCGTAGCGTGGATATCAAGTTACCTCAGTAAGCGTATCTCCTTCGTTCGAACTGACGGGGTTCTATCTTAACCATTCCGTGTGAACGCTGGTGTTTCTTAAGGTTCAGTACTCGCGCCCACCCTCTTTTTATTCATCAATGATCTCGCTTCTAAACCCGTCAACCCGATTCACTCTTGCTGATGACGCCACCCTCCACTGTTCCCTCTCCTACCGCACTGTTCGTCATGCTCAAACCAAGATCGATCGTGACTGTAGTGCAGTTAATGTGTCATTGGACTCCGATCTCGAACATATCTCCTCCTGGGGCATTGCAAACCACGTTTCACTCCATAGTTTTAAAATCTCTCTTCTTTCAAATTCTTTAAAACACCATTCATCCTCCCACCCATCCTATTTAATTTCAGGTAAATGCGTTCTACAGACTCTGCTCCATTCTTGGATTGCAAATAACTTCTTTCTGCTGGACCCTTATATAGCCAAACTCGCGTCGCGTGCTGCGCTCAAGGTTGGATTTCCATTTCGCGCTAGACGTTTTTTCACCCCAGCTCATCTTCTACTGTACAGAGCTCAAATCCGCCCTGCTCTTGAATACTGTATTTACGTGTGGGGTGGGGCTTCGTTTTCTTTCCTTTCCCTTCTTGATCGTGTACAACGAAAGGCCATCCGACTGATCGATGATCCTTTCCCAACATCCAGTCTGCAGTCCCTAGCCCATCGTCGGGCGGTTGCTCTATTGTCCCTGTTCTACCGTTACAATTTCGGCTTTTGTTCTTCGGACCTTACCTCTGCAGTTCCTCTTCCTGTAAATTTTACTCGCCCATCCCATACGCAGACATCTAGCCATCCTTATCAGATTTGTTCCCAGATGTCGTACCCTTCTGTTCCAATCTCGTTTTCCCCCCGGAATTGCCAAGCTGTGGAACAGCCTCCCACTTGCCGTTTTTCCTCCAACTTACAACCTAACACTTTTTAAACACAGAATCAATAAACTGGATCTTACGTGAATGTCCCCATACTCTCCCCTTTCCAGTATGCCATTTGTCTATATGGATTTCCCCTTTTACTGCAATTCGCAGTGACAAAGAAATTCGACTGTGTGGATAGAGATGCGGTCTAGATTTTCCGGCAGGAAGTGGTGGGAGTATGTAAACATTTTCAGAGATCTCTACTTAGAAGCATCAAGCCACGACAATGTCTACAACCCCGTAGTCCCTTAATGCACCACCATGAGCGCAGTTCAACAAGGTTCCTCGACTTCACCCTTAAAGTTTAATTTCACAATAGACAGAATATTAGGCAGCGCTCTAGAGTACTGCATGACCTTCGGTATGTAGCTTGTTTCAGGTGACCCACTTTGAGTTACAATAAGCGAACATCGTTATAATCTACGACACTTCTCAGGGGGCTCATAACGTCCAATGCGAGTAAGCGTTGTCCGTCACGCAGTGTGCAGTGACCTTCCTTAAAATGTAATCTTACTGTAGCACCGGCAATAGGCTACACCTACTCTTACGCTTGAGTGATGGTTTGGAAATTTATGATCGCCCCCCATAATAGTTGGTTAAGCTCAAGAGGATTGACAGAGAGAATATCAACGCGTATCTGACGGGCCCGGGTGGCTTTCGTTACCGTCACTTTTGGTTTCAATGCGATCTTTCTTTGATGGGCTGATTTTAAGGTGCCACCATATGAGTAACCTTACTCTACGGCTGCAAGAGGCACATAGAGGTATAGAGACAGTGTCCTTGACCACCGCTGCATTGACTGCATCGTCAGACTACGTTGGCAACAGTGAATAATTAACGACAAGGCTCGCCGAGGAGTCTTCGTATCAGACGATTGTCACGGATTTTGCGAGTGACGTCATATTTGCCCATCTCGAAGTGTCGGTTAATCTGATTGGCTGAGGGTAGAATTAATTGTTGCCCTCCTTAGCGTTCGCTTGCGGACAAGTATGGTGCCAACGCCACAACAACAATAACACCAACTGGAGGGGGGTTGGAATACAGAACATTGGAAAAAAGACAGCTGTCCAAAGAAGAATTACGAATAAATGGGACAATTCTTTTAGTTTTCGCCAAACATTGGTATGGACCACAAGGTGGCTGTGGGTTGGTGGCGGTTCCCTCTGTGCTCGTTCGTGACTCGAGGGGCATAGATGTAACCTAGGACCCACGCATAGGTTCTTTGTGGTAAACAACATATCTTACACCCATTAGGAAGCCGTTGTCGCTGTATGCCGCAAATAATTCCGTAGAGATTTCCAGTTTTACATGACTGTGAGTAGTTTCCTGTTGTGATTGCTGATACCTGTCACAGATTCCAAGTAGCGCCGCTAAAAAACAGTGACTTCGTTTGGTTTAAGGCTTACAATTTCCTACATAGAGAAAACATAAGCACTTCTATAGAAGCAAACACGAAACTGAAGAGAATGGAGCAACTATGAGACCACCCAGGTGTAGCTATTGAAAGCTTTACGGTGGATTACTAAAAGCCTTAAATAATTCCAATTGGATCAACGAAAAGTTGAAAATTTAATCTAACCGTGAGTACTCCATCCTAGGATCACTAGCAGGATTTGCAAAATAATTGATCACCGAGTACTGAAGCGTAAAATTCATTTAAACAATTCTACGAAAAATACAGACGTCCTTTGTACCATGTGTACTAATATTAAACCAGAATCGTGTGAGCTTGAAACCTGTTGCGAGTGAAACGAACCGTTGAAGCAAAGGTTGCAAAACAAAATGAGAATCTAGTGAAAGTCCGGACGAAATCGCTTATGCAGGCAGCTGTGCTGTCACATGGCTTAATACCACTCCTAACCTGTTGAGGATTTATGTGGTCTGACTCCTAGAGTCTAGGTTGCCGGTTTACATGACTGAAGAACAGGTCCTCATGACTATGGGTTTTACCCCGACTGCCGTTTACACTAAAGTGTGATGAAAAACCGCGGACGAAAATACTACGCTTCGGTTGTTACGCATATAAAACTGAGAAGGGTTTGCAAAAACGGTAACGTACTTGCTCCACTTCGTGGCACAGTTTCAGGGACTCTCCGTATTTCCCCAGGTCTCGATAAGTGCGAGCGTTTTCAATGAGGAACCACATACACTGCATTTCCGATAAATATTCAGCGGCGGATATAGTTTCCTAATGACATGTAAGATAACAAAAATAAAAGCAAACCCTTGTAAACTTTGACGCCATTGCCAGCGCGTCGACTTGACGATGTGCTTCAACCATGAACTTTGTACAGCGTGCATTGATGTAGCGGTCAGCAGTGTCAAGGGACTGTGCTTCCTCCATCCATCGACTTGCAGTTATAACATCTCCTGCACTATAATATATATCAGCTTTGAGTACGTAAAAATCAACTAGTGTTGGAGTTTTCCTAAGTTGATCATCGACAACCTCAAGGGCCTCCTGCGACAGTAGATGAAAAGAAAGGGGCACATACTTTGTAGCATTTTTTGAAATTCAGAAACTGGGCGATGAAATAACTCAACCATATGGCGGTTGACGGAGGCTCAGGTTGATCTTGGAGTCCGTCAAAAGAGTGAAACTTAGACATGTTGTGTTGGTACATGGTTAGCAATTCCTCGAGCACAGATAACTTATCCTTTTCACGCCATAGGTTACTTAACTGGATAAAAAGCGGGGGAGCGCCTTTCCTGAGATAGTGGCGAAGGTAACCATCCAACTGGGATTTGAACGTATCATCTTACAAAGGGAAGATGAGTGAATTTGCGCAAAGTACCTGAGCATACGCTCAACAGCAATCTGCGAGCGAGTCGGGAGCGCGGATACTTTTCGAGGACCGAATCAAAAGCTTTTCTTCGGATTTCAACATCTTCCTGAGGAGCACCGTTGGCGCCAAGCGCACGGCATAATACATTGATGTACAGTTCACTTTCAGGATTTCTGTCGATTAACTGCCATGCGACTTCAACAGCGGATTCCATCTGACCCATGTTCAGAAATATCTCAGCTGCATGGTTCGTTAAAAACGGATTACCTCACCTTTCATTTCTAGAAGAGAGACCATATCCACGACATCCTTAGAAAAATCGGTCAGTAGTTTTAGAGCTTCTTCGTGTTTCTTATTTTCTAGCAGTATCATAGCTTGGTATAAAATGAGTTCGCTGTTTTCATAACTCATTGAAACCTCCCCTTGTCCTTTCCGAAACTCATTCAAAACGGTCAGGGCGGTATCGTAGTTTTCCAGTAGATGATGGATTAGGGCATATCCAATCCACGACGCCCTTTGGCTAGGGCGGAGCATAAGCAATTTGTATCGAGTATCCTATCAATATATTCCGAATTTAACGGCATTTACCTTGCAACCTTCATAATTTCTAAGTTGCATCTGAAGCACAGACAGATCACGCAAAACCTGTAAATTGTCTGGATCCAGTCGAAGAGCCTGCAAGTAGCACTTGATTGCCTCGTCGTATTTCCTGTCTGATTTCTGAACCAGACCGTATATGTGCCAGCCTACAGACATAATGAATTTATTATAATACTTACATACGAAACTCGATATGTTCGCCTTTAGGCCCCGTTTGACGTATTCACGTGCCTCTTCTTTTTTACCCAAACAGCTGAGCAATATTCCCTTCATCGCAAGAGTTTCTGCAAAATTTATATTGTTTAAAACCTAACAAACCCCCATGTTCGGAGAATTTCGGATTTGAAAGAATCTGTTTCGCACATTTTAATCCATTTTTGTACTGCTTCTGGTCGTAGTATTTCTGTTCACGGAAAGTAAGGGATTAAAGCTCGAAAATAATTGACGGAGGTGAACTATTTACGGTCCCTCGACAAAACTTACCACAACCCTTTTGAATATAGATAGCTCTTTGGGTGGTAATGAGTTCGTGGTTAGTTGCTTCGACATCACCGCTAATCACGCGCACAAACGAAAGCAACTTCAAAAAGCGAGCGCTCTTGAGTAGTGCAGTTGAGGTCAGGCAAAATCAGTTCAGTTCAGTTCAGTTCAGTTTGTTTGTGTGGCCCGGGCCAATCTTGTGTCCAGATTGATGTGTTGTTGGCTGTTCTTGTGGCTTCCAACACTGCGAGTCAATAGGTTTTTTCTGAAAGGCAGAAAGTAAGGTGCAGTATCACGTCCTGGGCAATGGCGCTCAAGAATAATAGGTACTTACCACCAAACTGCTTCAGGGTAGAAGCCCAACAGTCATCCAATGCCCTCTTGAAGGCAATGACGTTCGAGCAACTTACCACCTTTTCTGGCAGACTATTCCAGTGAGGTATTACGCGACTTGTGAAGAACTTGGCTCGAATGTCCAGTCTTACAAGACTACGTTGCAGCCTTAA